ACATGCATATTCATCAAAACCTAAGCTACATTTTGATAAAATTTTATGTGTAGTTATTATGCGCGTTTCTGTATAATCAGTAAAAACAGGTGTCCGGATACTTTTGTCCAGGGAGTGTATGTTCAAAATCCTGTCAAAAAAATTTTTATTGTAATTTCTGAATTTTTGAATTTTTGAATTTTTAATAAAATTTAGCAATGATCTACAACTCATGAATTTGGGGGTCAAAATCTTATTTGTTGATTTTCTCAAAACATGATTTTTTAATATTAGCCAATATATGTCAGCGTCCTAACTAAATAAATCACGATAAGTCGGTCTCACGTGATATTTCATTACTGTGAAGGGTCATCATTACTATTTTAGTAATGCGTGATTTAATAATTTTTTTATTCCTAATATTTCATCATTAGCAAAATGATTATTCATAATAAAATATATGATGCAAAAAAACTATCTTTATTGTTCAATTTTTATAATTTAGAAGGAAGAGAGCATCCTCACTTGTGAACTACATTCATATTTTATTACATCCATCAGTTATAATGCATAATCACACATCCATTTTAAAAAAAGAACTTTTTTGCTTTAATTATTTGATGATTTATCATGAATAATGCATTAATATTTTATTATATATCATCAATTGTATCATTCATTTACCATAAATAATGCATTAATATATTATTATCTCATCAGTTATATCATCAAGAATTTAGAGAACACTCTTGTCTAATTATGAACAATTAAGGCTCCAAACGAATCAATGAAATTTGAACCAATTCGAATCAATTTGAATTTGAATCAAATCGAATCACCTAATTTTTGATTTGTTTCATTCAAATTGAATTCGAATCAAATTGAATTGTACTTTGATTTGATTTGATTCAAACAGATTCAAATATATAATTTGATTTGATTCAAACAGATTCAAATATATAATTTGATACAATTTGAACTGATTTGAATATATAATTTGATTTGATTTGATTCAAAACTGACTGGTTCGAATCTATAATAAAAACTGATTTGAATCCATGATTTGAATCAAATACACTATATATAATAAATGAAAAATCTTTATTTTAATGTATATTTTATAATTTTATTTACAAAAATATTTTTTATTTTATATTTATTTATATAGTATAAATATTGTAAAATTCAAAAAAAATTTTTTACCTGGAGCAATAATTGCATCTTGCCTTTCCATCTATGGTTGTAAAATGATTCCATACAATGCTTCTTGTTCTTCTTGTTGTGCTTGTTGAAGAAGTTGAAGAAGTTGAAGAGGCATCAGTAATATTAATACTTATTATTTTAGATTTAATGAATTGTACAACTGTAAATCGTTAATTTTTTACTCATTATTAATTATAGGTCACACGACCATTAAATATTAAATCCGTTATTATTAAAAAATCATATCGAGAAGAATTTTATTATCATCAAACCATTCTTAGACCTCAATCCATTAGTATTCATTAAATTGAGGCACACTAATTGAGATTCACTGTGTAATATAAATTTAAAAATTTTTTAGGAATTCACGAATTGAATTGAATCTGTTTTTTGGAATTCGAATCAAATCGAATTGTCTACAGATCAAATCGAATCACTCTCAAATTCGATTCGATTCAATTTTTGTTCGGAGATTAGAAGATATCCAAGAAAAGCTACAAAATTTATAAAGTGTCCCAGGCTGAAAGTTATTTGATTAACGATCGGCATTTTTTGGGGTAAAAATTTTTCTGGTACATTTTTTAATCAAAATTTTTTTCAAAGAAAATATGGTATACTATAATTTTATTTTATTTATTTGTATATATTTAAAAGAAAGAGAAATTAAATAAGTTTAATTTAACAAGATACGTAGACAAACAAGACTTCGAAGAGAATACTTGTATCGAAAATCTTTGGAAACTAAAGATAAACAAATATTTGAAAGAAAACAAAAAATAAAAGAAGCATTACGAGGTTTTAATATTATTCATTTCATATTCATTGTTTTACAAAAAGTACATTGATTAATTTTTGTTTCTTTGTGGCGGCAATAGAAGGAAGACCTGTACCCACAGAATTACGAGAAGAAGCTATTCAACTTCAAAAAGAATTACATTTTGATGAAGCACAAACTGGTAGTGTGTTTTGTCTATTGATTATATATCATTCATCAAGTTACTTTAGATTTTGACTTTTTTTTTATAATAATAATTAGAACCAACTACTCATATTGATGATGAATATGCACAGGCAGGAATTTATGATCCTAAAATATTAATAACTACATCACGGGATCCAAGCAGTAGACTTTCACAATTTTCAAAGGTATTTGATTGTGGTTGATCAATAATCATTATATAGAATCATTATTTTTAAAACAAAAAAAAATTTTTTTTTAGGAAATACGGTTGCTTTTTCCAAATTCTCAACGAATAAATCGTGGTAATTATGTTATTAAAGAGTTAGTAAATGCATGTCGTGCTAATGAAGTCACTGATCTTATATTATTACATGAAAATCGTGGTGAACCTGGTAATTTTATTTTATTTTTTTCCTATATTTTTTTTTTTTACAAATGATTTGTAATAATAATGATCAATGATTTTCCTATGATTATACAGATGGAATAGTTATATGTCATTTTCCATATGGTCCAACTGCATTCTTTTCACTTCATAACGTTGTACTTAGACACGATATGAGCAATGGAAAAACAGTTTCAGAAGCATATCCACATTTAATATTTAATAACTTTAATTCAAATTTGGGTAAACGAGTGATGAACATATTAAAATATTTATTTCCAGTACCAAAGGAAGATAGTAAACGAGTTATGACATTTTCAAATGACACAGATTATATTTCTTTTAGGTATTATTTAGCATTGTTAATTATTTAATTATTTTTTCCCCTTCTGGCAACACTAACTTTCTTTATTACATCTTTATCTAAATGTGTGTATGTATAGACATCATACTTTTGTGAAAATTAATCATAAAGAAGTAGAATTGACAGAAATAGGTCCTGGATTTGAAATGAGACGTATGTGAAACAACAATTATTTTTTATGATATGTAAATTGATTTTTAATAACCTATTAAATTTATATTTTTTTAGTTTATGAAATTAAATTGGGAACGGTTGACTCAAAAGATGCAGACACAGAATGGGTTTTGAGACCTTATCAAAGAACAGCAAAAAAACGAGATCATTTATAATGTAAATCTTTGGTCACATAGTATACTGTATATGTTTATTAACATAATCATTTCTATTTAAAAATCATTTCTATTACATTAATTTTTAAAAATCATTATTTTTCATGTCAAATTCTTCGCCTGCAATAAAACATCTAATAATTTTAAGATCATCATCCAAAAATAAAAGATCTGCATCAGAACCGGTATTTAAAGTACCCTTTCTGTTCTGTATGCCCAATAGCTCTGCAGGATGTAATGTAGCAGCTTCAATTGCCTCAACAATAGAACATCCTGTAAATTTTTTAAAGTTTCGAACAGATTCATCTATTGTAATAACTGATCCAGCCAATGTCCTTGTACCAACTATCTCAACCTTTTCATCCTGTTTACGTACATGTATATCTCCTAATTCATAATCACCTGGCGGTAATCCCATTGCAGAAATAGCATCAGTTACTACAATTGCACCTTTTGGATGTGAATCATATGCAATTTTTATGGAGTTTGGATGTACATGTATTCCATCACATATTACACCATAATAAGGTCTTTTAATACATGTAGTACCTAATAGTCCAATTATTCCAGGATCTAAAAAACCATGTTAAAATATTAATTTCCTACGCACATATCACATAAACAATTTTTTTTTTTTTTTTTTTAAAAAAAACAAAAAAAATACCACGATGATGGAACTAAAAAAAAAATTGAAAATGAAAATACAAAGTTTAATAAATAATTAGTTAGAACAAAATTATCATTGTATTTTAAATAACTTGCCTGCTGCATAGCATTGAATAAATGTGTAATACATTTTGCCTAATTATAATCAATAATAATCAAGTATTAAGTAGAAATTTTTTTTTTAAAAAAATTAAATTAAAATTAATATCATACCCCTTTTTTGATGGCCGACTCAGCTTCAACAACAGTAGCAGCTGAATGGCCTAATACATCAAAAATAAAAATTTTATAAATTGTTCAAGTTTGTTAAAACAACATTATTTGTAATCAGAAAATTTTAAAACCATATTTACCGATGCTAACAGTAATACCAGATTTAACAAGTCTTTCAATATTATCCAATACTCCTTCAACTTCGGGCGCAACAGTTATAAGTTTAATAGAATTTCTAATATTTTCTGATCCATAAGTATTTTCAAAGTCTGAAAAACCATTTGATAAAACTTTAAATTTATATTTTTCATGCACACCACATTTTTCTGGTGTTATAAAAGGCCCTTCAACGTGAGATCCTATTCATAAAAATGTAAAAATAATGATTTTTTTAATGGTTTATGTAATAATAACTTGTAGCTAAATATTAAATATCTACCCAAAATCTCTGCTCCATTCTTTAAATTTCCTTTTCGAGGTCCAATCAATGGTAACATCTATTTAATAAATTAAATTTGTAACAACTTCATTATATGATGAATGATTAAAAAATACCAAATAATTTATAAATTTACATTTTTATAGACATGGTCTTCAGAACTAATGAGTGTTGGAATAAAACTAGTACATCCAGTTCTCAATAAACCTTTTGAAACTTTAGTTAAATCAGCCTTTACCTTCTGTTCATCAAAATCAGCAGATGTTTGTGAAAAATCAACGCCAAATGCACCATTGATTTGTATGTCAATGAATCCTGGGACTACAAATAATCCTTTTGCATCAATCACCAAGTCTGGAGATGATTCTTTGGTGAAAAAATGATTTTGTGGGTCGATTATTAAACCATTTTGAATGAATAAAACATCATTTTCAATGATTTTATGATTATGAATTAATCGTGCGTTAATAATTTTTTTTAAAAAAGATGACGATGTTTGATTATTTAATGTTTTGTCTGGCATGTTTAAAAAGTAGTAATAATATTATTGAATAAAAAAATTTATTCAAAGAAAAAAAATCATTTTAAATACCAATGATTAATATATGACGTATTTGTATATGAATAGGAGAATGTAATTAACACACGCGACTTTTTTGTCAATCGTTTATTATTATTTCATTGTGCATGAGTTTCCAAATCGATCGATCAAGATTTTCAAAATTTGGATTAGATCAAAACTGGTATATATATATATACAAGTATCAATTCTAC